CCGTTACACGCTCAGTTACGGTACAAAACCAGATGGGGGAGAATGGGGGGTTGCGGGAATGAGATAGAGTCATTTGGCACTGCCATTAATGTAGCCGCTAAGTGGCAATGTCATGCTAGGCTGCTCTAACAGTGCCCCATTCCTAAAAAAAAATAAAAGAGTATAGTAGCCTAGCTAAGGGAGTAGTCGAAGTCTTTATACCCTTATTTTATTCTTTTAGAAAGGATATAGTTACAGACTCTACAGTTTAAATCCTGATCTTACAAATTTCAAGACAAAAATCCTAATTCCCATAGGGTAGAGTATTAAAAGCTTACCGCAAAAGGCAAACAAGAGGGCCCCGAAGATTTTCGGACGAAAAGGGTGCGTGTCTTCTACAAACTGGAGAAATGGCTGCAGAGTGGCTGGTCTATGCATATTTCATAAGCAATTACTAAGCAAGCCCAGCGAAAGCGCGTTGGCGGCTTTTAGTAATTTGTCCTTGTGTTGAGCTACCAAAAAAAAAAAAAAAAAAAATGGAGAAAATATTACAGAAAATAAGCAAAAAAAATTAAATCGCCACTCGTCCAACTGAATTGGCCCACATGACAACAAGAAGCGCTCAAAAATGGGCCACATAATTTATGATTTCATTTTATGACGGCAGACCGACGAACCACACACGCAACCTCACACACCCTGTTGATGTTGAAGTTGCTTTTGTTTTTGTGCCTTTTCGGTGGCATCCCCAAGCTTCTGATTTAGCCTTTTTTAAGTCATTGCTTTCTATTATTTTGTTATCAAATTACAGCCAATTGCCCTTGCGAGGGCAACCTTCTCGGGCTTGTCGAGCGGGCAAAGTTCAAAGTGACTGACAGTCAGCTCTCGAATTCTCCCTGCCGATGGAACAATTCCATTAAAAGCTGATTTCGTCTTATTAAATTTTGTAATGTCATAAGCGATGTGATGATTTTTGATTAATTTTCTGTGGGCTCATATATATACATCTTGTAAATAGAGGACACCATGTAGTCCTCCAATCAGAGTTATTGTTTTTGGATTTCAATATATAATTTCCTGTTACTACTTTAGGGCTAATCTGCTTGTGTTTTTGTTAATTTAAAGCTAAAACTAAACATGTGTGGTTGAGATCGACATGTTGGTCTTGGAGTGTCCGAAACATCAGCTACAGAAGAGGCCTAGAAACATATTGCCAAATTGTGGGTTGATTATCTGGCATGGCCATCGCTAAACAAAAGGCAACAATTATCTTAATGCCAGGTGCAAGAAATTAATGTCCTGTAAGCACATTTCAACACAATATAACTAACGAAGACTGGGACTATGACTGTGACTATGAGAATGAGTATAACGATGTCATCGCACTTAATCTCCGATAAAGGCGTGCGGTGCGTCCTTTGTCCCATCCTGCGAAAGGTCCGGCAACTGAACAACGAAATATAGATTAGAGAAAAGGTACAGACAAATCGCTGTCTGCCGGTGAACTGGGCCAACAACACTCCGAACTGCGCCTCAAACCCATTATAGAAACTTGGCTAGGACCTTTTTTTTTTGTTGCCTTTTTGCCGTTCTGTTGTCGTTGGGTGTCATCTATTTGTATTTTTATGTGCTTACTGTCAACGAAATAATTGACTATTGTGTGTGTGCTCCGCCTGTGGGGTTACCCGTGAATGGGAAGGCTAAGGCAGGTGGGTGTCTGTTGACATCTTAAGTGAAAGCAAGAGTAAGTGCCGGGAAAGCGGAAATGTCCCAACTTATTTTCAATGTGAGGGAACTATAAAAGTCTATATAAAGTAAATCAAGTTAATGGTCAGATTGAATTAAACCCTTGATGTATTTGGAAATAAATATAAATATAACAAGTTAAGAGATTTATTCGATATTCGAGGTTTGATGTAAAATAACTAGTTCCAGGAACTTTGTTTTTTCAAACTCTATCCATTATAAGCTTTGTAAACCTTCACAAAAATGGTAAATAGGCCTTTACCTTACCTTTTCCTATTTTATTATAATCTTTGATACACAATATTTCTTTTAGTTTTTTATGGCCCGAACGCAGGCATACTCCTGGGCTTTATGTCTTTCCAATGCATTGAGCCGCAGCAATATAGAACAGAAATCGGTGAAACTTTTACGAGCTTACCAGTGAAGTCCACCTGTTCAGCATACACAACTAGGATGAAGTGCTTGGTACAGTTTCCTCACCCAACCCATTCCAACCATATCATATACATATCCATACGACATAGAGTTTTTCGGTGCGTGGGAAAACCAATTTCCCTGGCGTAGCACTTACTGCCATTTTGGTAATATGACCATTTTATGGCTCACGCATGTGTAAGCGGCGGCAGTGGGAGCGCGGAGGTGCTAAAGCTAAACACGTACTAGGCGGAGTTGGCAGATGAAATATGTGCCCAGCAGCAGCAGCACCTGCTTTTTTTTTAATGAAACAATCTCTGCAAATATGATATTTTGTATGCAAACATGCAAAATATTGTCGAGTCCCAGCCAAACAAAAAAAAAACAGGGAGGGAGGTTGGAAAAGCGCACTCGTCGTAAAATGAAATAAGGCAGAGCCCATGCTGGGCCAAGATGTCTTTTACGGGAGGAGGAGATGTTGGGTGGTGGGAAAGGCCTACCTTCGTCTTACGTCAAAAGATAAATAAACAAATATTTGCGTTGACAATAAGCTGAGCCAAGACGGAAAAAATTGACTGTACCTAGGATGTGTTCCAGTTCCTTCCGAGGAAATTCCAAAGATTAAAAAGGTTTCAACTGAAGTGCCCATAAATATATCAGGTCATATTTATTTTATACCTAAAACATGCATTAAAAAATTAATAAAACCAATTGGGGAAAAGGCTATAAAGTGTTCTAACAAATTTAAGAATGAATTTTAAACAAAATGTAAGTAGATATGGAAGCTATCAATATATACATATATATAGTGACATATCCATAGCATAGTGCAAACATTTAATTATATATATTTTGATGTATTTACTTACAACAAACCCTCTAAAAAAACTTGTCCTTTTATAAACTCAACACTCTGTGCTCTTTTGAGATATTGTATATCAATAATTCAATATTTATTTTCATTTTTGTCACAATTTTCGGTTTCTTATTTTCAACTGAGAGCCGTAACGAGGAAATTTAATCTTTTTTCTTGTTAACTTCCTGTGTGTGTCTTCGCCTGCTGGCATTTTGCTTCCTTGTGATTTTCCCACCCCGCCAAGCATTCGCCAATTTATTTTTTGACGAAAGATCCGAAAACCCAATTAGTTGACGTTGACGACATTGATGTTGGTGTCCTGACATCACAGCGATACAACTGACGGACCCCCACACCAGCCACACGAATTGTAAATTGAACACCAAATTGTATTTATAAAAGTAAAATAATAAAATAAATATCAGAAATCTATATATTCGATTGTCTTGGGTTTCTTTTGTTAACTTGGTCAGAAATTAAATCAGGGGGCAAAACGATAGAAGTCTATTTTTACCATTTTAGGCAAGAATTTGAAACTTCCTGGACGAGTTCATGTCTTGGGCTATCTTCCGGCACTAGAATCTATACGGAATGTCGAAGGATGTAGTTGGATTGCCGGCCCACCCTACTAATTACAATTTTGTGCCCTGATATTTCTCCGGCTTTTCTCTGTGGTCATTTGCACATTTTACAAGGCTCCGTCTTGTAGTCCCAATAGAGACCGACATTTGTCTGGTTGTCCACCAATGTGTCCTGCAGCCATATCATAGCGTCCAACGTTTCCGTTTTGCGGCACCACCACCTCCTAACCACCTCCTGGCCACCCCCACTGTAGCACTTCCCCTTCCGATCCACCGGCAAAGCTGTCAACAAATTAACTGTGACGCTTATGGGGGGGAAGGGAAACGGACATGGAAGGCAGTCGGGCGACCAGTGAGACAGAGCTGGTTGAGACTATTCAGGCGATTGGGCCCGACATGCTTGGCATGTTTTGCTGCCCAGTTTTAGGCGGGAATATGTGTCGTAAATTCGCCCCCACACATGACCCAGGGGGGCCACAGGGCGCCAGCTGTTTCTGGCCACAAATATTGAACAATTAGCTCCGCTCATACCAGGCGTTTACTGGTGATTTACATTTTTCGCCCCATTCCCGCTGGGGACTATTTAAAATGCATCTCAATGAATGAGAAATTCCCAAATAAACCAACATTTTTGCTTAAAGGACATTCGTTTTTTTAAATGTCCTTATTTAGACGTATTTTTCTTTCACTTCTTTTTTTTTGTACTGGAATTGCTGGCCTTATAAACGATATATATTTTTTTGTATAAATAATTCTGGTACGTGCGGTAATGATGCCGACACGTGACAAGGCGACAAGACAAGAAGGTGAAGGAGACGACAGGATTCTGGAGGGATTTCAGTGAAGGGGACCAGAAGGGAGAGCCAACAGACAGAGCGTAAAGTAGACAAAAGGCGCTGAAACCAGATATATTTTTGGGAATATTTATTATGGCAGCCGGCAAGGTGTATAAATTTGCATGAGAAACTGCCGCAAAGAAAAGGAACTCAGCTTCATATGGGGTGGTGTGTGGGTGTAGGACTTAAGCATGAGAAAAGCACTGCATAAGCAAATAAACAAACAATACATAAATTTTTGAGACCAACATGAAATGTCGGAGGGCGTCTTATGCGGGGCACGTTCTCCTTCACATTTTTTTCTTACCTTTTCTTACCCACCTTGGCTTTTTGCCTTTCTTCAGAGCAGAGCTCTTTGACAATTGTTCTTGGCTTCGTTTTTGCTCTCGACATTGACTTTGATAACAATAATAATAATAATAATAAGAGCATATAATAACAATCATTTTGTTTCCCATAAACGGTGGCCACCCCACCCCATACCATATCTGAAAAGCCCCCCAATGTCCATCATTACAAAACACAATACGATGTATTTTTATAGACTGACTGTATCTTTTTATTTTTCTCTGTTCTATAAAATTGGTTTATTTATGACAGTTTTTATATTTATCACAATATTGATGGAGCCACACAGGACGCACTTCATCAGCTTGGGTGTAATTGCTGCAAAGAGAATAAAAAAAAATAAATGTAAATTTATTGTATATGTTTATTTCCACACAATAACATATATTCTTTATTTATTTTTTTTTTACAGCTGACGTCAGTAAAACATAAACTATAGATGCGAGGGCCTAATAAAAGCGGAAAATATGGAACAATTTCAAAACGTAAGTATATTTCAAGCCAAGTCGAAGTATTTTAAGAACCTTAGAAGATATATCATTTATAAAACTAAGAGATATGCAGTTATATATAAAAAAAATCAATGGCTTCAAGTATGATGAATGGATTCTTGGATTCTAGGATGATTGAATCATTTTAATTATTTACTTTCCTAACAGGAATTTTTTTGTGAAACGATTGCTTTGGCATATTGGTTGTGGCAAGTTTTTCTTGGCCATCACACTTTCATCTGGTGCTCATTTGTCAGGACTTGTCAAATCCCAGAAACTCGTTTTTTTGTGGCTCTCAGTCCCTCCATTTTCGATTATCAATTCGCATACGTGCCGAGGCAAGCTTAAGAAAGCTTTTCAAGTGTCTAGACTTTGGACAACTATGGAATGAATGCGGTAAACAGTTGTGTGCGAATATTTGCCTTTCACTCAAAGAACCTGAGGGCGGTATGGGTGTAATTTGGATCGTTTTCGAAGCGAGTGGATGAGGGATTCTGTACCGGGCTTAATTACTGCTTTTCGTATATGGGGGGTAGCCCCAATCGAACTGATTCGCTTGTGAGTGAGCTCGTTTAATGCAATATTCCCATAAAGAAGACTTTTCGAGTGTCTGCGTGTGTGTGTGTAAAGGGAAAAAGGAGAATGGGTGTGTGTGTGTATGAATGCGGGTCCTTTCAAAAACTTTGTAAACTGGTCAGGCATATCCTTGTCATACAGCACACACACAAAAGCAACAAATTAAACTGTTCCTATTTGCAAATGAATTGTGCGTGGCGTAATTTCGCCGGAAACTTTCTTGGGGATAAGGCACAAGGATAGATGGTTGGGATGGTTTGCACAAGGCACAAGGATCACACATACCCACACCCAACCAACCACCCACACACACTCACGTTCTTGTTCCTTACGCTTGAAATAAAATAAGTAGTATAATACAGAAGGCAACTGGCATCGAAATTGAAATGAAAGAAAAGGATTCTTCAGCACAAAACAAAACAAAACCAAAAGAAAAAAAAAAAGAAAGAAAAGTTGTCCTCTTTTCTTTGTATCTTTCTCTGGTATCTTTTGGGTGTATGTGTGTGGGTGTGAGTGTCGTGTCCTGGCCGCCTGGTGAAACTTTTTGTGAGGGCCCAGGTCCTTTCTGGCATTTCATACGCTCAATTGCTGGTGGTTAGCCAAGCCCGGCTGCGTGTTCTGGTCGACAGTCAATTGAAAATGAAATTGGTAAAAGTTAGCAGAAACAGAACCGAGCTGAGTCCTGAGCATAGCGGAGCAATGCAGAAAACCTCTTCTTTCGCCTCGGCGTGTTGGTTTGCGGGGTGTGGGTGTGTGTGTGGGCATCTCAAAAGGATAAAGGGGTGGTACGTGCGGACAAGCATGCATAATGAGTAGCAGCAGGCAGCCCAAAGCACCAGGAGCACCAGAAGCACCAGAAGCACCGAGCACCACGATTCTTTTACCTTCTAACCGACGGTGCGTCCTCGATGCGGGCTACCTTTGCAAATTAATACTAAAGAGACGCGTAAAAGTATGCAACACCAAGCGGCAAACAGCTACGTGCCTGGTTCAGAATGTCCCCGCATGCCTTTAGCAAACTCCCTACAATCCCACCAGAAACCCTACATCATCCTCCCAATCTGACTCCTTCTTGTTTTATGAATACTTTTCGCTACTTTACTCTTTGATCATAAACAAAAAAAAAAAATGTGTACGAAAAGTTGCTGCGTTTGGCGAATGTTTTATCATTGGACACGTCGTGTTGTTGGACTTTTTATAGATTCCATTTTGAGTGCATTTGCTTGTTGCTTGCTTGCTGCGTTGACTACGCAACATTTCCCCCCTATTTTGTTTGCTCTGGCATTTTTTTACGATTTATCAGGGAACGCTTTACCAGACTAACGACAAACACCATTACAACAAACAAAAAAAGAAAGAAAGAAACACCCAAAATCCACACCCACTCGACAGGACTTCTTGTGACAAATTGTTGGAGATTAAGTTTGGTAGAGCGAAGACTCAAGTGTTTTGTTGCCGGAAGGGATTAATAAGGATGTGGTGGCGTAGAGTATAAAAGTTTTTTGCGGTTCGCACTATGCCAGGGATTATTGACGAGCGATTAAAATAAGATTATAAGTCAAAAAGCTCCAAAAGGATGGATGGGAATAAGCCTTAATAGACTGTAAACTTCTTATACAAAAAAATTAAATAAAGTCGGCAAGGGAAACTGCTGCTAGCTTATTTCAGATATCAGTACTTATGTTATCTTATGAATGGTTGGATGCATAATTAATAGAAAATCCTCACTAAACATTAAATATTCATGCCAATTCATAACTTATTTATTTTTCTCTTAGAATTTTTAATTATTTCTAAATACATATTTGTATAGTAAATAAATATTAGTTTACTTACTTATGAATCATTCAATCCAACGAATATTTATGCAGTTCCTCTTGAATACAACTAAGCCGTTTTTCCCGCAAATCATTTGGTTTGAATCTGAAAGCAAAAAAATGCCATTATTAGGTAAATAATTCAATGCGCATAAGTGGGGTTTTAATTACAGGCAAATATAGTTCAACCGTATTTTTCATAGTTTTTTCATTTTGTTTGCCAAAGTTTTTTTATGGTGGATTTCTGTGATAAATTTATGTCAAAGCTAATGCTGTTTGCTCTTCCATTTGCCTAATTTTGTTTGCCAATGATATTCGAGACATTTTTTCGCATTTTCGATTTCAACTTTTTTAGAGGAAATTGAACACAAATGTCATTCAGCTTTTTCACAAATTCATGCAAATGACATTTATGTTGATAATTTTTCACTAAAATTTTCTATAAAAAATATATTTTTCTGAATCGGTTTTAGTAAAAAATAAATTACAGGATCAAATGTATTTTATTTTTTATGTTTATATAGATCATTTAAATTTGAGAAATTTAAGCTTTAAGTCCCTGATGGATTTAATTGAAATGTTCTCTTACTTTACTAACAATTATATTTTCTGAACAAAGTAGTATTCTTTTTCAAATCTAAATAATTTTTTTTAAGTTCAGCACTCTTTCTAAATTAATATTCAACACTATTATTATAAATATCAAGTCAACTAAACCCTCATTTTATTAATTCGGATGAGCACCAATTTTACTCCACTTTTGGAAATTAATCAGATTGATATTTATTTTTATGACTCACGGTCTCCGCCCACGCTCTAATTGCATTTATTGTGCTGGAGGACTGGAGCGATTTTACGGACTGCCCCTAAGCTCCCTGGCATTATTAGCAGAGTCACACGCATACAAAAGAAATCGCTCATAAAAATTTACTGTGCCACGCCCACCACTCTAACACCTCCCCGATGCTTACACGTTAAAGCCAAATAAAAATAAATAAAATTTAGGGACCGCAGCAACCGAAAATAATTTCTTTATTTTGGGAATACTCACATGAGGAAGAAGTGCACTTCTTTCGGGCGATGTGTCCTGATTCTTCTGATACTCCTGGCCATTCTTTTATTTATCCATTGGCTGGTCTCCTTTTATTTTGTTTTCCTGCTTTTGTGTGAGAATTTTTGGAGTTTTTCCCACGGCGACTGTGTCGTTTACATATCGTTTGGGCCCCTTTCCCTTTTCTGGGGAATCCACGTTTCGCTGTCTAAACGATTTACGACACTTTTGCCAACTGCTTGGCGCACATATTCGCAATATTGGATGCTTGTTGGTTGGTGTGTCTGGACCAGGACATGTATGTCGTCTTAGTGTTGGCGTGTGTGTGCGAGCGTGTCTGTAATATTAGCATTAAACAAACCCGCACACACACGCCGCGAGATACTGTTAACTTGGCAAAGGCAACACAAAAATGCCGCACACGTTCGTTTTTATTATGTTAAATGTCTCCCGGGGCCTCGCACAGCCAGTATCTGCAAAGGCACAACTTGTTTCCATTTCCATTTCCATCTGTTTGGCCATTTTCACTGTTTTTCTCTGTTTTTGTTCATGGTTTTTCGGTTAACAACTGTCACTCTTGCCTTGTTTGTCACATTTCACATTCACTTGGTCTGCAGCGCGCCAAAAAGTATGCTACCCAGCAAAATTAGCACAGGCTACTGCAGGATTTCGTTAATTTTTCTGTGGCTCGGTCTGGTTGGCCCACAGGACTCGGCGCTGTGCGTCCTTTTAGATCCTTTCAGTTTACTAGTCGCCTCTCCAGTCGAGACTGACGACGGTCAAAGTCAATGGCGGGCTTTCGTGGATGCGATTCTCACCTTCGTCGGTAAAGGTTCACGAATCCTGAATTCAGAGCCGACGGTTTTCCGAGTGCTGTAGCCGAACGGGTGGGTTTTCAAAGCTTGCTTTCGTATTCGGGGGATACTCTTTCAATGGGTCTCGGGTTGGATCTATCTCATTCTGGATAAGGTCTCTTTTTGCAAGTTGAGTTTACTGGGATTCGAGTCACAGTTTTGAGGTGAGCTTGATTTTTCAGCTCTATTCTCTTTGGTTAGTCAGAGAAGCGAGTTTTATGCAATGGCTTGCACTTTTAACATGAGTCGTGCTTAGCATTTGAGAAGAATCCTTCTAAAGAATTTCCTCTGCAAACAGCCACTCAAATAGGTTAGTTTTGAGCCAATTCAAAGGGTTTATATAAAATATACCATACATAAAAGTGTAGAAAGTTAAATACAATAATTTGAAAATTTAATAAAATAAATATAGTTTAGTTAGTAATGAATAAATACATAAAACCTCGAAATTTTGTAAAAAACGATACAAAATGATTGCTGAGAGAACTGCGGATGCTGAGTCGTTTCTATTAAGCCTTTTTAAGCCTTAACATGAGTATTATAAAGTATATTCTTATTGAGTATATTTTAAAAGGGCCTCTTAACATTACTTAAACCTGAGCTCTATCTAGACTACTAGCCATTAGAGTTACATTTTAATAGAATAATACAGAAGTTTTCTCTTGAGTTGCACAGCTGCATCAAAGACCCAAAATGTAACTCCAAATGTAAGGTTGAGTCCTGTTATTTGGCCAAAATGAAGAGTTTTCCGATAGAGTACTATCTTTATAACACCACTCCATTTGCGAGTTTGCTATCAAAACCCACACTCTTAAGATTTTCCGGAGTTTTTCCCATGAAACTCACATTTTGAGTCAGAGACTTGGCAAGAGATTTCTCTTTGAAGCACTTGGGCCTTCGGCGGCTAAGCTTTCCGATGTGGCGCACTCTCTGAGGGAAAACTCACCACAACCGACACCATCCATCCGGTGGCGGTCGGGTTCGCTGAGCACTCTTCGGGTCGGTGGACGGCACACAAACGCACACACAGGACTCGAGGAAAAACACGAGCAGGCTTGCTCCTAGCCTTAGCCAATCGTAAAAGTTTTGTACGTATTTAGTACAATTTCGGGATTTGGCAGGATGTAACGAGCGTGTAAGAAACAGAGCGCGTCGTTCTCATTCCGAGCGATATTAATTAACAACAAAAAAGCGTGACAACAACAAATATACAGGAAAATCCGTAAAAAATCGTAAAAGTCTTTTGTTTAATTAATTTAAAATTTTTAAAGTGAAAGCAGCTGCCAAGCAGATTCTGCTGAAATAGTAACAAAGAAGTACGGAAAAATAAATCAAGAAACGAGTTGAGATCCCGGCAAAGTGATTTTAGTCGTAATCCAAGCCAAGTTAAGAAAAACCATATCGTCGAAGTCCTCGGCTTGCCTCGGTTCTACAGCGCCCCCGCCCCGTCCCCGCCCACGCGTCCCGTGCCTCGTATGTGTACTTGTTTATGTGAGCGTGTTTTTAGCCGCAAGCCGGTTAACGGTTAACGACGTTTCTACAGCTTTAAAATACTCCATGTTTCACAATTAAACTTGCCAGAAAGTGGCCAGAACCACCTACCGTTTCCACTGCAGACATCCAAAAATAGAAGAATAATGGTAAAAATCTTTAGATAAAAATATTTAAGGAGTACCCTTTGGCTGTGTGTGTGTTTTTGGCTGTGACCTGGAAAATCGTTGACATACTTTGGCTAACAATTTTGCTTTCTTTTCCTTATGAATAAAAATAAATTTTACATCGTTTGCTGCAGCAGCTAATAAGAAGGCCAATCTTTTGCCTTTTGAGATGGAGATTGAAACGATTGCTAACCAAAGAAAATCAGATTTACTATTTTTTTTTTTGGGTAGTTGGCTGTTGACTCCTCCGCAGCGTCGTCCTTCCGCAGTAATAGTGTTGTTTCCTTTATTTGTCCTTTTATGTTTACCTTTTTTTTTGTGCTTCTGCAGCAGTCCCCTCGTTTCGTCGTGGTTTGGTTTAGTTCGCTCTCGCACACAATTGAAAATTCAATTGATTTACAAAATGAAGTTGCCGGTTGGGACTGGGACAGGAGATACTTTTTATCTATTTTCATTTGCAGTTTTACGAGCGGCTACAATTTTTCCCTCCGCCAATCGGTTTTTTTTTCGCCTTCGACTTGACTATTTGGTTTTAGCTTAAAGCGAAACCTTTGGCAATTTTTCACACAGTTCTTTTAACGGATTCGGGATTCAGGACTCGGGCCGGGCCTGGAGGGGTCTCGAATCTGGAATTTGGTGCGAAACTAACGCCGCGTCCTTCAATGATTGTTGTTGCTGATGGTTTTCCTGGTTTCCAATTCGTGTATTTTTTGGTTCTTTGCATGAGTATGTGTGTCTGCGTCCCTGTGTGTCTATGTGTGTGTGTGTGTTTTGTGATTCGAGCGGCCTAAAATCGTTTTAGGAGCAGCTGCGAAGTGATTTTCCAGCAAAAAGGACTGCAGTGTGTGCGGCGAAAGAGTTCCGCAGATTGACATAGTTATGTTCAAAGCAAGTAATGGGAAATCCTTTGCAGGAAATCTCAAGGATATATTGGTTTTGGTTGCAGGTTTATAGCTAATACAGTGTTACAGGGGTTTCGGTTTTAGAAAAACAATAAAATTAAACTTTTTTGAAGGCTTAAAAAGGAAAAGTGATAAATTACGGACAGATCTGACATTTAAATCAATTTTTTTTCTTTCTTATAAATAGAACCGAGGAAATTCATTCCTATTCAACTATTTATGTTCATTCTTCTGTGAGATTATAAAAACATTGAAGCAGTATACCTTGAGTTCCATTTTTCATCATTTAATTTCTCTTCTTAAATAGAAGATATTTGTTAAACATTCTATACACTGTATAGCATTTCTTTCATTCCGAAATATCTTTAGAAATTTAAAGAGGAACTTCAAGCTCGACAAGAGCCCCATGAAACATGACGCAACCCAGAATGCCTTTCACTTTTTTGCTTTAAGGAACCGCTTCCGTTTTGGTGTCAAGTGTTTTTATTAGAACCCAAAGCGGTAAGAAGAAAAACTGCAGTCACTAGGACGACAGTCGCCGGATGTACGAGGGTGTTGGTGTACAGATTTTCTTACTCTCTGGAATTTTCGCCTCAACTAAATTGTGAATTGAATTGAAGATGGCTGAGGCAGAGAGTAAAATAACACGCATACGCCACGTGTGCCGAGCATGAAAACAGATGCACAGATATTTTATATATGTATACAGCATAAAAAAAATAAATTTATAGGCAGGCTGGCAGCAATCGTTGGATCATGGTCTGACACAAGTTCATTATTGTAACCATAACATAATTAATTGCATTAGCCTAATTGAAATTTTATCAGGCCCTACCTGGAATGGAGCTGAAAATAAATATACGTGAAATTAGAGGTTTATTTTTGATCTTATTAGAAATTAATGGGCAGAAATAGATGGATAGGAATTCTAGTTATTACAGCCGGGTTGTGTATTTTTGATTTCGGCAACCCGATTATAGAATAAATAGATCAATTTAATTAATTGTCTTCTCGGGTAGTAATTAGTTCCTAAAAGTATTGTGGTTATGGGTTTATATAACTCTTTTCATAACAAGAAGCTTTGATTAAACAAAAGTGGAAGTTGTGTGCTTAATATTCACTCTTATTTGCATTCTTTAAGCCGAAAGAAATCCGCCCAGGCCGCCCCCCTTTTGAGTGAAGCTCTTGAACACTTCCCCCCCTTGGACTGTCTGTTCAAATAGCGTTTTACGAAACGTTCGTCATGGCGTGGCCTGGCTATACATATAGGCGGCTGATCGACCACACCCACACAGTTAAACCAGCCCATATCCCCCAGTGCCAGGTTCTGTTCTTCCTGTTTTTGTTGTTGTTGTTGTTGCTGTTGACGTTTACAATTTGGTGTTGAAAACTTCAGCTGGAAATTGGGTAATACTCACGATGATGGCGATGGCGATGACTGCAGCAATCCTGCATTAAGTACGCCCTCGCCCCTTTTTGTGGGTGTATCTGAAGCCTCTGCATATGTATGAGTATAAGGATGAGTGTGTGGGTGGGTGGTTGCAAGGGGTTGCAACAAAGAAATTTTAATTTATATAGAATGAGCTGGAGGCGGAGAGTGAGTACCTAGAGTGGCTTCCAGGACCTCCTCCAATCTCCAATCCGTTCCGATCCGATCCCTCGGCAGTCGTCAACATTCCAACGTTCGTGCTGTGCTTACACTTTACCCACTCCACTCTGCACTCCACACTCGGGCACTCGGCACATACACACCGAAAAAATCCAATTATTTTAAAACTTTTGACAACTGCAACAACAGCAACGATAGCATTGTTGCAAGGCTATGAAAACAATAAGAAAACTGACTGCTACTGCCAGCCGAGGGCAACAAAAACAACACTGCTGCCTGGCGTTATAAGAGAAAGTCCACAAAAAAAAAAAAAAATCAAGAAGAAATCGGGGGAAAGGGGCTTTCCAGCCATTATAACTTCACTTGAAAAGTTTAATTGATTTTTACAAGTGCATGTATACATATAGCCCGAATGTACGGATACGGATTGATGGTAGTAGCCTACCTGCAGTCACTGTTCCGCTTTCATTTCCAATTTTTTTTATCCAGCCTGCTAAGTGGGTCTATAACTTGATGTAAACAAAGCAGTGTGAAAGAGGTGAAAAGGTCGGTAACAGAATTGGTAACAGAAAAATCAAAAATAGCCATACCCTTTCCATTAGAGCCAAATTGTTGGCCTGTCGCAATTGGATTTGGCTTTTAGATGGCTGGGGCTTGATGTTGATTTTTTGGTTTTCTTTGGCAAGTAAGCTGACTATTTAATTGCTGCTGAATGTGCTCCTGTTACAGTAATTATTGCGTTTGCTTTGAGAATTCGCTTCAGGGTGATTTG